GCCAGCAGTAAGAGTTACTGCTAGTCTGGATGCCTACTGGGAAGTGCGATAAAGCATGCAAGTCCATGCGACATCCCAATCACCATTTTTATGAACATTTTCCTATTTATTAATAGTAGCTGCTCTAAATCCACTCAGGTTTTATGCCAGCTGCCAATTCTGGGTCTAGTACAAATTTGAGATATATTACAAGCAAGTTCAGCTAGAAATGAAAATAAAAGGTGAGAAAAAAAGCACATCATATGCCAACAAGGCAAGCTCATTGCTGATAGGTAAGAGTTGATAGGTAAGTGAATGACTGTACAAACAAATAACTCCAGAAGCATAGGTGAAGACAATGGAAGACAAGGTATCAATCACGGAATGGGAAAAAAAGCAACAGGGAAAGTGAGGTTATTCCCCTCCTGTTATTAAGCTACAATACCCTCTTCTCTGCTGAGACATTCAAACATTCAGTATATATACCTGAGCTTCATACCACCACTTCTATTTATAACTTATTTACCTTTACAAACAGCTCTTGGACCTCAGCAGAAGACATTCAACATATCAATTACCAGTTTTATTGCAGACAAAAGCATATGGAACATAAAATGCATGGGAGCACGTGGCATTCAAAGACAGGTAACTCTGAAATTCATGATACAAGTTAGCACCTTTGCTCACTTGATTACTCAGGAGGCACTTTGTAACTGGCAGTCACCTCCAAGTGCGAACAATCCATTCACTAGAGGCATTTTCACCAAAAATGTAGGCTGATCTTGAAAGTAAAGTTGCCTCCCATTTAAGATACTATTTAAAACCCAATAGGCACTTTGACTGCTGTAAAATGAGTATTGATAGAGATGGAAACTTGAAAGTATTCAATTTATGGATATGCAATCGCAGGAGATGCAGTGTAAGAAAATCCTGTTTACATGAAGACAATCTACCACAGTTTGGATTTGAGTTATTACACTGCTGTGGTAAAAGTATGCTTCCTGCTGTCTCAGTACACAGAACCCCCTAAAATACAGGCTGAAATCTCCAGGGTGAACAACTTCTTTCTTTCTGGAGGTCCCCCATGTTCATGATCTACAAAGCACCATAAAATACCTACATACTATGCGTGTCCAGAGAAGTGGCTGGTAGGGCAGCATAATGAGACATCTCTAGACCCCAAATTCCTTCATCGAAAAGAATGGTCCATGAAAGAAACCAGTTAGGGAGGTACTCCTGAAGGACAGACATTTTTGCAGCCTGGTCTCATAGACGATTCCTTCCCATCTGCTTGTCCAACATTAAAAACACATCCCACAAGTCAGATCCATTCCAAAAGAATACTGGTAGTTTATTTTGGTTCATAGCCAAGGACATTTGGTAGCACTAATGGCTAATATTTAAAGAAGTGTAATAGTTTTCCTCTAGTTTTCCAAGAAGAATTGCATTAACCAGTACTTTAATTCTGCAACTGCATTAACCAGTAAACCCACAGATATAAGAAGACCCAGACAGATGTTTGGTGGAACCTAAAGGGAAAAAAAAGAACTATTGTAATGCCTTTCTCAACAAGCAACTTCAAAGACACTATTTAACAACAAACCTGCCATTCCAGAAATGCATCATTGATGGGAACCCCATGATTGCTGTAGCATATTGCTATTTTACTCTGATTCTTGAAACAGTCTTATTTTTCAGAGCATAACTTCTTGCTCTTCACAGCTGTCACCGTCAACATTTAAGAATGGAAAGTACTCTTCAATGCAGAGTTATTTAGCATGCTACAATCAAGCGAGGCCATGAAGACAATTCTGGATCACCTGAGTAATATAGCTTGTAGGTGCAATGTTTTCAGAAGCAAGACACAACATCAGATCCTGAACTTGAGACAATTTCACAGAGCAATTTCTTAGCACTGCAATAATTCTGCCCCTTTCCTGGTACTTCACTAGGGAGACATCAAATAAACAGAAGCACTTGTGATCGCTAGACACTGCTGAAATTCTTGGCATAAATAAGTAATTGAATTTCTGATTAAGGAGATTTTAACGAGCTGAATCAAAATCTCTGGAACTTGCATTTATTCTCCAGACAACCCCTTCTGTTTTCAGCCACTAAAACCTGGGCCTCTGTACTTTCCAAATGGAATGTCTGAGACAGCTTCAGACTTTCAACCCACAGTCCTTTCCGTTTAAAACACATTTACATTTGAAACCACTTGCGAAGTAGTCCTAAAGACTAATGTAAACTGGATTTTTTTCCCTACCCATTTTTCTGTTAAACAGGATTCAAAACAGTAGCTAGAAACAAGCAGGAATTTAGGATGTGACACAGGGTTATTAAGGCAAGGCTCCCTTGGATCCAGTCTTCCTTACAGGAACCTCCTGGACACAGAAACATGCAGCTCTGAGAAAGGCTGAGTCCTGTCTCTTCAAAATATTTTCCACTGTTAAGATAAGCTGAAAGGGAAGCTGTACAGCTTTCACTGGTAAAAACAGCTGTATTAACAGCTACAGTCAAGCACTTTCGATGGATTTGACCACTGTTCCCAGCCTTGTGTTTATGCACAGTGTATTCCCAACCTTCTGTATCCACCTTACCTTCCCACATTCAGTCTCCTTATATCAGCTCCACTTACTGAGACCTTTTCCCCTTACCTGTTCTCTTCAATTTCTCGTCATTTGGTTTGTCCCCTCTTCACTATACCAAATAAATCCCTCAGTGATCTACCAGTGATTTCTGCCATAATATTCTTCATCCTGCTTCTGCAAACTATCCCTTCTTCAGCATTTCATCTATCCAGCCTTTAGGACAGCACTAATACTATATGAATCTACCTTACACAAAGGTAACATGTTCTAGATGGGTTCACTGCAGTAATGAATATAATAGACTAGAATCATGATAACGTTTAGCTTATACTAATTCACTATTGTCACTTATCCACCTTGTACGCCAGGAGTGGTAAAAGCTGTCCCTGGAAGAGAAGAAATCAGATTTCACTGTTCTTCACAAGGCACAGGAAGGAAGTTCATACAAACTTGTACAGACTGAAACAGTTGCTCTAAAAGTATGTCAGTAAAAATAGATTTCATATAAGTGTGTAATAAGACAAAGGCTAATTAACTGCAATTGCTTCTTCCTGAGGTCAAGAGCAGTTATACCTGGGATGATTTTAGCCTAGGATATCCACACTTATCAATATGATGGGGTTTTTTAAACTCGGGACATCACGTATCACACCTTCAGTTTTACTTGACACTAAAGTGACAGGGCTAATGAAACAAGTTATTTTGACAGGACAAAACCTACTTGAAAAATAACACTTATGTTTCAGCATTCTGCATTCGGTAATGTCCAACACTGCTGTAACTTAGAGAAGTCAGTCAGTATTTTATCTTTCTTTTTTCCTCTGCATTTTCACTCCATTTTCCCCCCAGTTTGTGTAGCTGGCAATATTTTGTGATGATCAACAGCTCCACTGTTTTCTTCTCACACTCCTTTGTGAGATTTCAAGCATACACAGCTGGTCACCAAGTACTCTTTCTAAGTATGTTTCATTCTTTCAGAACTTCCTTCAGTTCACATACCGAAACTCCCAAGTTCTCTTAGTCCTGCAAGTCTCTGCTGCAACTCCTTCAGAAGTAGGAGCCAGGGGAAACAAGACTGCTGACACCTACAGTAGTCCACTAGCATTGTCTGTCAGGCATTGCCAAAACCATGTCCTAGGTTTACACTCCATGCCCCAAAGGTCACCCTGCCCAGGTTTAATGCAAAAGGAAGACTTAAAATTCCACTGAATAGACAAAAAGGTATGATTAACATAACACAGCAAGTAACACACGCAGAGTAACACAAGACACTAAATACTGCCATTCAGTTAACTGTGCACATCTGATTTGCTGTCTCTTTTTTAACCTCAACCTTAAAAACACAGGAAAGGTGGGACAAAGAAATAAGACCAAAATAACTACCCTTCTCCTCTTCATTATTTAATACAAAAAGATACACTGAAAGACATACTGTAAATAAAAACAATATATAGAAGCATGTTTAGAAACTTGACAGCCCTTCCACTGAGCAGTTCTTGATGATATTGAAAGAGAGCCTATCTGGGGTACAGTACTTGTTCAGATGCATTGCTTCATCCCGCACAAGTGTCTCCTTTTCTCCTTGTCTGCCTATGTAGGCATGTAATTTAGGTTTACTGGAATTAGGTGCTATAACACATCCTGCCCACTTCATCCCTTGCTCCAATTGCTTTTCCCCATACAGCTACCTCCTGCCAGCCCTTATGCTTATGGTGAAATCAAATAGCTCTATCTGCCCCAGTTAGTTAAGAGGAATCTCTCTTCTCCGCAAGGTTCCCTGCCTGATAACAAGTTAGTGATGGTTCCTGTGGTTTGTCAGAAAGCTTCTGAAGGACTACATTTCTGCACTGGAGGAATTAATAGCTCCAAGCTTATGAAGATTTACATATCTCTACAAAACATCAGTTAATGTACAGCTATCGTAGCAGAGACGATGATTAGCACTGTGCTTATTAAACAAAGGAGTAGTGAAATCTGATTTGCATATTTCTGACTCGCACACAAATTCCCACTGCTTTTACAACATAGTATCTACACGGTTCATTTTATTTTGATGAAAATGAACACATTTCACTGATGACCTTTAAAGGAACTTTTGCTTCCAGACTCTTTAAAGGCATCACTGATCTACTACACTTTGTCAGCAAAACAATGATCATTCCTAAGATGCCTCTGAAAAGCTACAGTCTTACCCAGCTCAGTTCATAAAGATCCTCCTGACGTAAGCAATGCAGAGATGCAGAATTTGCATAATCAGCTCATTTGCTGCATCCTGCAGCAAGGGACATATTCTGCCGATTCACACCTGCACCAGAAGGCTGCTCTAGTTTAGAGGAAATTGCCACATTGCAATTCAAGAGACATGAAGTACATTAGCTGGGTAGCAGCTAAGTAAATAAGCAAATGAAGATGTATGCAAGTTATTATTACCTCTGCTCCACAGACAATGAAAATGACCTTTGTTGAAAGGCTGGTTCAGAATCAGAAGGCAAAACTTCAGGTTTCCTGTAAAATAAATGTTGGTTCTTATTAGCAAGAATATTGATTTTTTTCCCCTTCATTTTGCTTTTGCCATATTAATTTTTAGTCCAACCACCTCAGAGCAACCCCACTAATTTCCTTGCTTCTTTTTCAGAGAGAAAACCTGCCAAACTTCATTAGAAACCTTTTACTTGGTAGAGTTTTGCTAAACTTTTAATTTCTAAGTGACTTTTACTCACAGAAGGCCATCCTCAACAGGACACCACATCCATCCAGCTCTCACATTTAATCTCCTGCTTGCTGCTGCCGCCTGGATGCAGCATTTACTGATACGAGCTTCCCCCAGCCTCTATTAACTGGGAAGGCTGTAGCTGACTCCGTATGAAGCTGTCTCTAATCTAAGTCCAATATTCCACTCTCCTGATTGATGCAGAACTCTTTCTGCCACCAGCAGCTTTCGTGCCTATGTTTTCGTATCATGTAGAAGCTCTGTGGTAGATACACTCTCATAGATACTTTACACATACAGAATGAAAAGCCATGCCCAAGGAGCTTAAAATCAAAGCTAGTTAAAGCAAACTTAAGCCTGTGACACTGAGGACTAAAAACCTCAGTGGGTTTACCAGCCCAACTTAATTGGGCTCCTAAAGCCTCCTGCTCTAGCAATATGTTCATTGTGATGGTCAACAATAAACTTAAAAATATAAAAGCCCAAATACAAAAGGATTTATGACACAACCACTTTGGTTTCAGAATAAAAACTTAAATCTCAAGGCAGTTGCCTGGGGTGAGATTTGCATTATTCCACTTCCTAATTATCTTGCCAATGACAGAGGAATACAAGTTCCCCCTGGAGCTTTATATCCTTAGGCCATCAGGTTAATGAAGTATTATTTGGTCATGTGAAGCCACTGTAACTGAAAAAAAGAAAACCTCTATCACAAGAAAGTCTTTTGGACTTTAGAGCAGATCCAGTGCAGCAGAAGGTTAGAGGTAAAGCTGTGGTTTAAGCCATACAACATTACAGGAGGAACCAGGTGGCAGAAGTCCAGGAGGTGCAGGAACATCTTAGGGTGGGAGTAAGGAGGGTACAATATTTAAAATAACAAATGAAATTCAGAGTCAGCAGGCACTGTTCAGCATCCTGCCTTTTGAGTGATTTAAGGTTTCACCACTGACCCCGTTCCATGCCTCAGTTGTCTAAAGCAGAAATAAAGTCTTGTCCTTTTTAAGTATCAAGAGAAACACTACTGAAGACAGGTAATTTTTACTCCAGTAAAAAGCCTACATGCTTATCACAGCATGTATTCTGTGTGGCGCTTTCAAATACCTTTCCCCTCATGTCTTCCACCTGCATCTTTGCTGACACGGTCCACACTTCTATTTAATTTGTGTCTATGCAGGGGAATAATTTTACTTAGGGAATAAATTTATTTAGAAAAGAACTAAGAGGTCAAAGGACCAAGAAAAGAAAGTGAGCAAAGCCTTACTCTTTGCATAGTCTGAACTGTTTTGCCTTGTCCTTGAACTTTAAGAGAAAGGTAGAAAACAATACATTCAAACTAAGTGCCAATTTCCAGCTGCCTCACAAAATGGGACCTCAGCAGCAGATCTCCTAATGATGGTTAAGCGAGAAAGGCTGCCAGCTCCTTACATTAAATATAATCATCCAGTGGTGCCCTCCACTGAAGAGAGCCAGGAAACATGTTTCTTTTACTGATACGATAATACAGACACAGGTGTTGAAAACCTATTCCTGCTGGTGAATCACAAATGGCATTTCAGTGTGTTTGAAACCCTTAAGCCATATCAGCATATGAAAACACAGTAGATTTTTAGGGGTCTTTTGCACACCAGGAGGATTAAGATACGTTTTTGAAGCCAAGGCCTGGCTGTATGTGTCCACACAGAGCCTTTAGAGGCTGATTTTCAAAGACGACACTTCCAGCAGTTTCCAGTAAGGCCTGTAAGAGCTGCTGGTTCTTGTTTAGCTGTTGCAGAGAAGTAGAGGCAGATGCCCCCAGTACACACAATTGGGGGGGGGGGGGGGTGTATGTTATGGGTTGGGTTTGGGATGGTTTTTTTAAGCACAGCTCCGGGTTGAAAAAGTAGAGAAATGGAAATTAGTCACTTCAAACCACTGCAATTAATGCATGATAACATGCTCTGGTTAATGCTACCAAAATGAGCCTAAATGTCAATATATTAATGATGTTCGCTGAGTTTATATAAAGCTGCACAAAGGGCTCAGTCCTCGGTAGATGTGAAACAGTAATAAAATTGGGCTGCAATAATTTACAACCACTGCCCTAAAAACTCTCAATAAATTGGGACTTCTGATGGCAAAGACCACGTCAATGGATGGAATATGCAACATCCATCACTCTGAGAAAAACTGATGAGAGCTCACTGTGCCACAGCTCCGAGCACTCTACTGGCTATTCGTTTGAAAACAAATCTACTTCAAGGCCATTTATCTTTAAAAGCCCTTAACAAATTAGGAAGCATCTATCTCCTGGACTGTCTGCCCATCCATTTTTCACACAGATAATTAGCACCCTGACCCAACCATTAACAAAATTGTGCTCTGGTTGGACTAATGGGAAAGAGAATTGTGAAAGCAAGAAATCAGGAGCAAAAATAACCTGTCCCCAGTTATGGGTATCTCCACTGAAGCAGCTTTTTTTGCTGTTATTAAAGGAGGAACAAGATGGTCTCTTGCATAGTTTCTTCCATTTTCAGTATAATTCTCTCTTTCCTTATGTACTTTTCTCACAGCTTTTGCAGACTGAGCAAATTCAGCCATCTGCAGCACAAGCAGAAAAGAATTAATTCCTCCAAATAAAACCTCCGGCTTATTCTTGATGTTTAAATCAACACAGAGAATGAAGGGAGCCAAATCCCTCAATACAAGTCCTCTCGCACAGGAATAAGTCGTGTGGTAAGGCCCAGTTTCTATAGGACAGGAGGACACAACAACTATAGGAAGTGTTTACTTGCATTTAGGGAACCAAATTTGTTCCCCAGCTTGTTTTGCTTATAAACCTTGCAGTCTTAGAGGCGTGACTTACAGACATTAGTATTTACATTTGCACAACTACAGCAACAGCCAGTTAGATGCAAAAATATAGTTAAACAAATAGAAAATTCCTAGTCTTTGAATAAAGCTGGATCCTTTTAATCCTGCTGGAAGCACAAAGAACAAATCCCTTACTTTCCTAGTTGTTAATCAATCCATCAACAATCCCTACAAGTCCCTACTGGGACCATCAGGGAACAACCTAACCCTTTCCGAAATCTTTTGCCCTTCTCTGCTTCCCAGCTTTTCTTTAGCTGCACTTCTTTGACAAAGTTTTTCCTGTGGTTGTTTAGAGAGGACTTGAATCAAAGGTGTTGTGAATGTCTCTGACAGCCTATGCAATGCCTTTTTACCCATTTTAACTCACTCGGAAGAATTCCAATATATTTTGGAGCACACATTTGCTATTCTAAAAGCCTCCTTGGCTTCTCCCTATCACATTATACTCAGCCAGCTATTCTATAAATATTTATAATATCATCATACATTTTTTATTGATTTCCCCTTGTCACATGCCAGTCTTTGAGCCGCATGGCTGCTGGAAAGCATGTGCAAAAGGCAGATATATTTTTAAAGACAACCTTTTCTCTGGTAGCCTATAAAATAATACAAGCCCCTTCTTTGTCTCCTTCCAGTGTTAGAATAATATAGCTAAAAAGTTATTTTCATGATGCAAGGTACATCATGTAAATAAATAAATAAATTCATACTGGATTTCCTGGGGAGAAAAAGCTTTCATTGCTTCAAACAAGAAGGCCTTGGGGAAAGATCACCCCTACTCCCAGTCTTTGTGAAATGATATAAGTGGCAACACACAATAGCGGATACAGTGTGTTAAGATACCAACATGCCTTAAGGTGCTAACCAAGAATGACTCCGAAGTCAGAGCTTCAACCTCAGCAACTCGTAGTTCAGTTCATTGTTTCGAATTTGTGCTTTCCTCCTTTTCTTTTCTCCTTTCCTTTCTTTTCCTGCAATCTAACCAAGAACATTCCACAAAGAAGCAGATTTAGTACAGAGGAGGAAGCAGGAAAGACACAGTTAGTACAGGGGACAGAGGGATTTTACCATTAAATTAATCTAGAAAGTTGAATGATCATAGATGTTCAGAAAATTTCTGTACTGGTAGAAATAAATCTAGATAGCCAAGATACTAACCAAGATCCCTTCAAAAGATGCTGCAGAAATTTGCGCTACGCATATTCCTAATCATATCACAGATGAGAGTCCAAATACACAATGACATCAAATCTACTTTCTCGGATATAAAATAAAAAAGAAGTGATTTGGTTTCCAGTAGCATCATTCAGGAAATCCCTGCCTCACAGGTTTGTGTTTTAAATGAACAGACACTGCCTACCAAATGTTAGAGTAGCTGGGAAGGGACAAGGCATTACTTCACAATTCCAAAATAGTGACACTGATAAAAGACAGAGAGCAACAGGCTGAGACAGCTCTTCATACAGCAGCTGAAGTTTCTTCTGCTGCAAAAGAATTAGCATTGAAATTGTGATTCTAAGAATTCCACATCAATTACATTTAGTTGGAGTCTATCATAAACCCTAAGACAGCAGATGATAAAACCAGCAAACATAAGATAATGCTCATGCAGAACTACACTGAAGATAAGGTTACAGCTCATAAAAGGAAAATTACTGAGGCAACTTGCTATGATGTTGTTGGTTTGGGGTTTGGTTTTGTATGTGTTTGTTTTTTAATTAATACATTAAACTCTCCTATTAAATTAAAATAGGATCTACCAAAAATGCACAAAATGTCACTTTTACATCAAAATCCTTCTTAACATGCTCTGTGTATCGAAAAACTTAGCTTCTGTGTAGTGACAGACATTACAACCTCAAAAAGCTTCATGGTGAAACTCTGTAAATTTTGCTGATTAGTTGTAGCAACACAGTTAGCTTTTTCTTTGACATTCAGCAGCATT